ATTGCAAAATGCATCCAATTTCCCTAAAAGAAAATCAGAGATTAAACGCTAATTCTGTGAAGCACACTACTTAGTGTGACAAGTGGATTCCAAAAAGAATAACCATTATGAAGTATATGACTTCCACTTAAAAAGAGAAAAAAAAGCCTCTAGTTTTGGCTACTATGAATAAAGTTGTTAAAAATATTTATGTATAAATCTTTATGTGGGCTTACTGGGTTATATATTAAGGGTATGTTTAATTTCATATGAAACTTCCAAAGTCTTTTCCAAAGTGGTATACCATTTGGTACTTGTAATAATCAGGTGGGCAAGACGGCAGTTTCATTTAGCAGTAAGTCAGCTTCTTTTCATGGCCACATCACTGCTTTTCTAGTAGGCTCACGAACAAAATGGCCATTCTGCGGGGAGAAAGGTTACGTGTGGCCTTAACGTTAGTGTTTACTCCTAAAGATTTGGTTACCACTGCTGAATGCCTAACTTGCCAACTGCAGCAGCCTGTCCTCAACCTCTCACGTGTATCTCTTAGTTTTCTGTTGCAGCATAAGCATTACCACAAAATTAGCAGCTGATAACAATACATACTAATCATTTCACAATTTCCATGGGTTTATACTTTGGAAAAGGCTTAGCTGAGTCCTTTGTATGAATTATTATCAGCCTTTAAGTTATTGCCTAGGATTCATTTTGTCCAGCAGAAATGGGAGCCACATATGCAATTTCAAATTTTCTATGAACCATAATAAAAAGTGAAGATAGTTAAAATTTATGTTAATAATATATTCTATTTAACTAAATCTACTCAAATATGATCATTTCAGCATGTAATCAGAATAAAAATTATTAATGAGCTCTTTTACCTTTTTTCATGCTAAGTCACCAAAGTCTGACATGTATTTTATAGTTACAGCACATCTCAATTGAGACTAGTCGTATTTTAAGTGCCTAATAGCCACCTGTGGCTAGTGGCTGCTGGACTGGACAACACATTTATAGACATTTTAGTGTATGCACAGTGGCAACTCAGTGTGGTTTTAATTTGCATTTTTCTTATAACTAAATGATACTGAGCATGTTTACATGTACTTACTAACCATTTGTATACCTTCTTTTGTATGTCTCTGTTCAAATGTCCAGCAACAGGTAAACAGCTATACAAACTGTGGTATATTTATACAATGAAACAGTACTCAGAAATAAAAAGGAATAAACTACTGATTCATGCAGTTACATGGATGAAACTCAAAATATGCTGAATGAAGAAAGCCAAACTCAAAAGAATATATACAAAATGATCCCTTTGTATAAAATTTTAGAACAGGCAAAACTCGTAAGAAAGAAAGCAGATTAGTGGCTGTAGTAGGTATATGTTAGTGATTACAGAATTTCACAAGAAACCTTTGCGGGGGGGGGGGGTTAGGGAAATGCTTTATATCTAGATTGGAGTGGTGATTACATAGATATATGCAAAATTTATTGAACTGCACATGTAAAATGGGTGTGTTTCTTTATATGTAAATTATACTCCAATAAAAATGATTTAAAGTAAAAGCAGTACATGTTAGTAGTACCTGTTATAATCTGTAAGCCAACTGCAAAATAAAACTGTGAGGCCCCTTATTTAGAAATTAAGCATTTTTTAAAATTTCAAGACAGTGACTGCAGAGGAAGTTTGTCTGTTACTGAATCCCCGATGGACAGTGTATGCATATAGTAGGTTCCAAGAAAGTTCTGTTGAATGAATTTAAGAATTTGGGCATCTTAGTGCCCAGCACTTTGCATTGGAGAACAAATAACACCTCTTCCTCTCTCTCTGCTGTTTGTTCCATAGACCTGAGGAAGAGAATTCTGAATTGAAAAAATTTTTAATGGTGTTCATCAGTATGATAGAGAAAAATACTGGTTAAAAGTTGTTTTACTTTTAAATTCTTTGAAGGTGTGAAAAGATATGGTAACATGAAGACAATAGACTTTGGTTGAGTGTGTGGAAGCTCTACAGAAACCATGAGGTGGAGGGGAATTTTGTCCTTTAGATATTTTATATTGTGAGTTACAGGCCGACTTCTGTTGGCAGTGTTACACTTAGTATGGGCCAGAAAATGGAGTAAGTAATGAGGATATGGAGATAAAACAGGGACATATAATTGTGCAATGGTTTACCTTCTTTAGAAATGAATGTTTAGATTATATTCTAATTATAAACTTTTCTAAAGACCTAAATATATATTGCCATAGACTTTTCATTGGGACTTCTCTCTAGTACTCCTTAACATAACTCAGAATTGTTATAACAGAGGCATTTGATGTATTTAAGTAATGTATTATGGAGTGAGTGTACCCCCCATATTCATATGTTAACGCTCTA